ATTACAAGTGATGGTAACCCGACCCAATAGACTAGAGATCCCAAGAAATGGGTTCAATGGGTAATAACAAGTCATGAGTAGTATGCGAAAAGTTCATGCATAATGAAACATGAATCACAAAGAAATGGAGGTTGAGTTAACAACTCTTAATGAGATCTATACCCTATATAGTGTGGAGAACTTTACTTTGGGGGTATTTCTGATAGACTCACCTATGTGAATGTGGGAGTGGGGCCGCTCCCTATGGAACTTTGCAGGCACAAAGTTGCTAGAGCGTTCACTAAACCGGGATAACGTGCATGGCCATAAACGCACGGCCTATGAGAGAATATCACTCAATGAAAAGATCCGGTGTGCTACATTGTCTGAGATAGGGTTCAAGACTACGAGTCACCCTTAAGAAATCGGAAGTGTAACCACTACGCTAAGGTTCAAATCTTCACGATACCTTAGCTTATGCCCGATCTTATGGAACTGTTGATGCTAAGTAATAGTTTCAAAACTATTCAAGTGGGGGATTATTGGGATGAATAGCTTGGAAAAGCTATAATGAAATTCCTAATTAATTATCCAATATTTTCCCCATAATATGAAAATAAGATGGATAATTAACAAAAGGAATATTATGGAGATAATTAGGAATAATTATCTTAATAGATTATGGGAGTAATTATCTCCCTAATTAAAATGTGACTTATTCCCAAAGAAAGAGAGAATATTCTGGGTTTTCTGCTCCTATAAATAGGAGACGCCCCAGACCCTCTAAACACACCTCAGTAGAGCAGAAACATGAGAGAGAGAGAGAGTTCATAGAGCTCAAGTTTTTCGCACAAAGCCGATGAGCAACAAAATTAGAGTGGTTGTTTTATCCTGGAGGCGACCGGCTGATAATCTGTTGTGCGCAATACGAGGCAGTGTCGCGAACTTCTTAAAGAGAGCGAACTAGTCCGCGACTCAGCCAGATCGGTAACCCTAATTTTTCTGTTCGGTTTCTAACAGGTAAGAGTTGGTTCGTCATTCTTGACGCTTCACAAATCTCGTGGCTACAAGGAGTGCTCCAAACTGCGGAAATGAATGAATGGACCTTCCACAAAGTTGCTCATTGAAAAGCGGCAAACGGGTCATTAAGGTAAGTAGACTCAATGATTACCGGAGATCTCAGCTCCAGATCTCCGAGAAGGTTCAAAGCGGAAGGTTTTTCAAGATCTTCATCCCCTCGCCCGGCTTCTGCACTTCATGGCCGAGCCTGACCGCTTTGCTATAAGACTTTTATCACTTAGAACAAAACCTTCGTGTCCATGATTATCGGAGTTCTAAGGCCCCCCACGATCTACCTCCTCCTCCACTTCAACCTTCAGTATTCAGAAGATCTTTTGCTGAAGTTGTCAAAGGGGTGGGCTTTTATGGTGGCGGCAAGTGTGAAATCAAAGATGAATCTGAGGACAAATACATCGAGATCGGGGAGGAGGGATTATTAGACAGACGCAATCTTCTGGGAAGAAGCATCATTATCGAGTTCATTCCCAATAGGCGAGAAGTTCTCACTAAGGATTTGATCAACGATTTCAGGCGATGGGCCAAGAAACAATGGGCAATTGATAGCAACTTCTCGCTTGAAGACCTCGAGGATGGGAGATGGTTGTTGGTTTGTCCGAGTCTCCAGGAAGCTCTGAGGGTCATTAAGTGGAATCATACAACGTTCAGATCTTTCACTGTTCGTCTTTCCAACTGGAGAGAATCTAATGCCATGTTGGCAGGGCCAGAAGTTTGGATCACAGCCTACGGAATACCACTACATCTCAAGAGCATCTCCCTCGTCAAGGCGGTTGGCAACTATTGTGGCTCTTTCATTGAAATAGACTGGAACTCTAGGAGTTCCTCCTTTGTCCGCATCAAAATCAAAACACACAACGACATCCTCGGCGAGATTTCGATCGTTTCCAGTCACAGCGTTTCTCAATTCTAATTCACGCGCCACCGCTTTTCCGCACGACCGGCAACATCTAGGAATCACCACCAGGACACCCAGCAGTTGCCTCGGAAAGCATAAGAGCCTAGAAGGATCTATTGTGTCATTTTCAATTCAGAATATTAAGAGACAGGTCTCGGGCAGTGATCCATCTCTTTCTTCTACGTGCATGGATAAACTCGACACCTATTCAGAGAATCACATAGCAATCGATAGACGAGGCCTCACTACTACTCGGATGACTAGGGTTCGGAAAGCAGGCCCACTACCCAACCCTTCCACCTTCGTCAAGCCCAACAACAAATCATCTTCCGCCCTCAAGAAGGCCGACCCCCCACCAATCTTTCTTTGATCCACAAACAGATTGACCCACTTGAGCCCACCCCACTTAGGCTTAAGCATCCTCCCATTTCTAAACTCGTGCTCCAACTTTTGTCCACCCTAAGCCTCACTCGCCAAACCTATGATTGCCAGCTTAGTGGAAACCAAGTGGGATCATTGTGATGTTGCTTCTATCAGCAGTATAAGCGGCTCCAGAAATTGTGGATGGGCAGCGAAAAAAACAGTCAACAGCTGCGGGGGCATTGCTGCTTATTGGGACCAGAGCCAATTAAGAGAGATTAACAACATAGCAGAAAGCTATTTCCTTGTAATTAAGTTGTTCGACATTATGGCCAACAAAACTTGGAACTTGGTCATTGTTTATGGCCCGGAGATTAAGGAGGACAAGCTTAATTTTCTTCTTGAATTAAATAACCTTTGTCAACAGCTTAGTGATCCTATTTGCATCATGGGGACTTCAACATGGTTCATTCCCATGATGACTATAGAGGAGCTCGTCGGGATTGGAATCTCATGGAGTTCAATGATTTAGTGGACAACAACACTCTATTGGAATTTCCTCTTCGTGGGAGTCGATTCACAAGGAGCCGAGGTGGATCCAATGATTGCTTTTCGCGCATTGACCGTGCTTTCATCACCGTCGACTTCGACTCCATCTATCCGGATTGCACCCTTATCGCTCCGGAATGTATAGAGTCCGATCACAACCCGCTCCTTCTCAAATGGGGCTATGATTCCCGCATCAAACGACCATGGAAATTTGAAAACATGTGGTTTGAAGATCCTAGATTCTATGATGGATTGAATTCCGGGTACTGCGATTCCATACATGGGCAGGGGCTGACTTTCATTTGGGCTAGAAGACTCAACCACATCAAGAACAAGATTAAACCTTGGAACAAAGAGATTTTTTGGGATGTCAATGTAAAAATCAGCGAACTACTCACCAAGATTTCTGAGATCGACAGATTGGAAGAAGATCAAAAACTTGATGTCCCACAGAGGACGAACAGGGACTTATTCAAGATCGAACTTGAGCGGCTTCTTAATCTGGTAGAGATTTCCTGAAGACAGAAATCTAGGGAAACTTGGCTCAGGCTTGGCGACAAGAACAACAATTACTTCCATAAGGTTGCCAACTTTCGGAAGAAATTCAACAGGATCGAGTGTATTAAGGTTAATGGAATCAAGTTTGAGGGCAGACACGCGATGGCAACGGGAATAGTCGAGTTTTACAAAAACCTCTTCCTCGAAAGCACATCCAATCGACCTTTCCCTAGGTGTTATTTTGAGCGCCAGTTATCTCATGAAGAGAGTCAATTCCTCATCCGTACGTTCAGCGAGAAGCAGATTTGGGACTGTCTCTTGGATTGTGACGGCAGCAAGGTCCTGGGGCCAGACGGTTTCACATGGAAATTCTAAGACAGGTGCTGGGTTTTGGTGAAGAATGATATCATCAATGCTTTTCACGAATTCCAAGCTACTGGCACTCTACCTAATTGTATCACACATTCGTTTCTGCTTGTTGTCCAAGAGAGACGTGGTAGAGGATGCCAAGGACTTAAGACCTATTAGTCTCATGGGGAGCATCAACAAACTTTTCTGCTAAGTTTTAGCCAACAGAATGAGAGCGGTTCTCCCTAAGTGGGTTTCGTCAAACCAACAGGCTTCAGTGAAGGGCCGTCAAATCAGTGACGTTGGTCTTATCGCGTTCGAACTCGTTAACAACAGGAGAAAGAGTGAAAACCGGGGTTGATGTTCAAGTTGGACACCGAAAATGCCTTCGACAACGTGAATTGGAACGGCTTGTTTGAGGTTTTGTCTAGTCTGTGTATCCCCACTCAATGGTCCAACTGGATCCAGGGCAAGATGTGCTCACCGATGATTTCTATTCTCATTAACGCTGAATCTCATGGCTTCTTCCCTATGCAGAAAGGGCTTCGTCAAGGTGATCCGCTCTCTTTCGACCTCTTGCTCTAGTTATGGATGTTCTGGATTTTATGTTACACATGCTTAAAGAGCATGGCAAGATCAGCGGCTTTTTCATTGATGAGCATGAAGGCCGAGGCGAAGTGACCTATCTCTTGTTCGCCGATGACACCTTGATCTTCTGTGAAGCCTCTGTGGATAAAGTCCTCAACATAATAGCCACCCTAGCTTGCTTCCAAGCGGTCACAGGTCTCAGAATCAACCTCGAGAAATCCGTCATGTTCACAGTGGGCGATATCCCTGACCCAGATTTCTTTGCTTCTTTGTTTGGCTACAATTGAAGTGATCAACCATCACGCTATCTGGGTTTCCCGTTTGGGGAAAAGCTTAACACCGTCGCTACATGGGACCCTATCATCCAAAAATACATGAAACGCCTTGTAGGGTGGAAAAGTCACTTCCTTTCAATGGGTGGTAGGCTGGTCTTGAATTAGGCGGTGTTGTCCTATCAGGCTATATATTTTTCTCTCTTCTCAAAGCCCCGAGCACCGTCATTAAGAGGATGGAAGGCATTCAGAGGAGATTCATCTAGAGCGGGACTGCTGAAGAAAGAAAGGCCCCGCTTGTGAGCTGGGAGTTATGCAAAGCACCTAAGTCCAACGGTGGGCTGGGGGTGATCGATCTTACCAGCTTCAACAGCGCAACGCTCTGCAAGTGGTTATGGCGGTTTGAAACTGAGAGGAACAATTGGCGGAGAGTCCTCATTGATGTCAAATACTCAAACCCCCGGTCAAGTTGGCATACCGGGATCAGCGACAATGGTTTCGCTAACTCGGTGTGGACCAATATCAATAAAGGGCACAATAACTTATGGAGATCCGCCTATATTGATCCAGGCAATGGAGCTTGGACTTCTTTCGAGCACGATCATTGGATCCCTGAAGCTTTGTTGCCTGATTCTGTCCCTCGTATTGCTGCCATCACATCCACCTCTGAGGCCTCAGTCGTAGACATCAGAACCACCTCCAGTGATCAAACAGGTTGGATTATTCCTTTAAATTTTTATTTGAGGGGGGGGGGGGGCTGAGCGGGAGAGAGGTTCACTTCTTAATTTCCTTGACAATCATGCTGCTTCGAGGGTTACTAGTGGCCCTTACAGGTTGGTCTGGTCCCCTCATGCGGATCAACCTTTTTCAGTTCGTTCCATGTACAGGTCGTTGACGAAGAACCAATTTCCAGGAATCAACAAGTTTCCTTACAGCTCGGTGTGGAAGCAGGTCATTCCGTCGAAAATTTGCATCTTCATTTGGTTGACATTCTTCAAGAAAATCCTAACAATCGACAACATCAAGAATAGAGGGAGACAACTAGCCAACAAATGCGAGCTTTGCAGACTTGACGAAGAAACGGTAGAACTTCAAAAAATTATGTACCAAAATGTAGTACACAAAAATTTTAGGTTTCAAAATAATGTTCCATAAATATTTTGAAGACTTACAAAAAAAATTAGGCTATAAATCTAAAGATCTATTAAGTTTAGGTACATAACTGTAATTTGCATAGTTGAGGTTCAATTCCTTTTCTGGTGATGTATTTAAGATGATAATTATTTACCTTTTTATAGAAATATGAAAACTATTTATGAGATCCAAACATTCCATGTATAATTGTTGAACAATGGAACTCGCTTAAAATTTCACGTCCTCAAATCCCATCGTAAAAAATGATGACTTTCTAATAAGTAATAACCATATATATTTATTTTTAATTGGACTCAACATTGAATGTTGGTGAGTCGTGTATGAAACGGTTCATACTTGTGATTAGAATACATAAAAATAGTATACTAATTAGAGTTAGACGAAGAAAGCAAATAAACAAAGAAAGGGTTATGGAAGGCGAGTGAAAAATGAAACGAAGAGAAGTGGATGGAAAGGTTTTGACCAATTCTTTTAGTTAGCCGTCAATACAACATTCAACCCTGTTCCACGTAGCAATTTATTGACACTTGCTTATGTAGATGTCACATATTTTGTTACATGTAGTTAGTAGAAGTTTGTTAAGTACCCTGTAAATGTACTAAATGAGTTTATAAATTCGCTCTTGCAATATTTTAGAGTCGTCTCTCTTTGATCATTTATTTAATATTTCATGTAATGAGTAAATATAAAATGTTCGAATCTTCTCCTACAGTTGAGTGATACAACCTCATGTATTGTACAAACTAAATTTATACTTTTATGTTATGGTGGATTGGATTCATGGATTAGTTCAAAAGGATTGGTGGACCGGATTCATGGATTCAAATGAAATCTAACCTAATATGTAAATTTAAAAAATTATAGGTACTAAAATCTCATAAAATTTTGATACTAAAACATCGTTGTTCAATAATTTTACATTAAAATTAAATTTGAGGTATCAAAATATAAAATGTACAGTGTAGCGACTTAGTTGTGATTTAATCAGATTTGAGGTATCAAAATATAAATTTTTATGCAACCGTAACCAAACTTCAACTTTATATATATTGATAATTACGTACCCTTCATCAGTACGCAATACTATTTAGGGTTAATAACTTATTTTGGCCTCAACTATGACCATATAATCAACTTTGGCCCGTGGTTTTAGAAATTAATATCCTGGTCTCAACTATGCAATATATAAACTCGATTGGCCCGACACATGGTTTGACGTTCAAATTGGACTGTCAACACTGTTGACCATTAGTCAACACGTCGTGTCATTGTCTTGTCAGCCAAAAAATCATTTAAAAATCAAAATCAAATTAAATTCTTAATTTCTATTATTTATCATTATCAAATTAACCAAAAACTAAAATTATAAAAATTAAAAATAAATTATTATAAAAATTATCAAATTATTTTAAATTTTCATTTTTTGGTTAATTTGAAGATGATAAATAATAGAAATTAGGGAAATAATTTGAATTTTTTAATGATTTTTAGGCTGACAAGGCAATGACATAGTGTGTTGACCGTCCAAATTGACGGTCAAACCGTGTGTCGGGTCAATTGAGTCTATATGCTGTATAGTTGAGGTCAGGATGTTAATTTCTGAAACCACGGATCAAAGTTGATTATATGGTCATAGTTCGGACCAAAATGAGATATTAACTCTAAAATAAGAACATATATTACCTTTACTTGTGGAAAGCTTACAACATTGTAGTCTGTGGAATAAATCCTAAATGTTCTTTTGAAGGGATTTATGGATAAACTGGTTTTAGGTAAATGAAAACTACTTTCCGAGATAGATAGCGAGTGCCAGAAGTGGTACCAAATTCAATAAAGTTTGTTGAAATGAATTAGTTCTTCAACTGAAGTTTGTGCAACTTATTTAGCAACTCCATAAAGGATAGATAGAGAGTGCTGATGACTCGATATTTGCACATGTTTTCCCCTTTGTTTCTTGATCGTTTAAGCTTGAATTATCGCTTCTTTGGCCTATTTTACGCTAGGTTGTGTTCCTTTGTCACATTTCAGGTCCTAGCACATAAAGTGAAGTGTAGGCGCAAGTTTCAAGTCAATCGGAGATCAATTGGCGACTCGGGGGAAGAAACTCGGGTATGACTTGAAGATGAATGGATTTCTACCTCATTTTGTGACCATATAATCATGTAATCTTGTCATGAGAAGAAAGAGGACGAGACTACGAGCATCTGGGATCAAACGGCACCTGATTTTGGAGTCCGAACGAGGGAGAAACGAAGAATCAAAGATAGGAGAAAATTGGTTTCGAGCTTCTCTGAGAAACAGAATAGGGCCCTATCGTGACACTAAAATCCCCGGTAGGGGATTTTTGGCCTTGATAGAGGATTTTCCCCTGTCTCCAAACGTTGCGTTTTCAAAAATCCCCGGTCGTGAACCAAAAATCCCCGGTCGTGACCTAAAATACCCGACAGGGGATTCTGACCGGGGATCGCGAACGCAGGCTGTTAAAAGCCTGTTTTGTGCGTTTTTGCAATGGGGAGCTGGGTTTTGGATCACAAACACCCAAGGGACGAACCAAAGAAAGAGAGGGCGATTTGAGGGCACTCTTGGAGTGGAATTGGAGGATTTCTTCGCCTTGGAAGCTCAAGGAACAAGCCCGAACTTGAAGACTAATCATATGAAGATTCTTACTGCAGTCTCTCTCTTCTCTATGGAGTAACTTCCCTTCACTTAGGTTTTGAGGAACCCTAGCTATGTTTGTTTGATTGGATGATTGTATGAGTACTCTGACTTGATAATCTTGAGTTCATATTCAATCTATGCATGTTTTCACGATTCAATTCTGCTTTAGTCGAGATTATTGATTCTGCTTTGATCCTATGAGAGCGAATACCTGATTAGGTCAATAGAGCACCATAGATTGATAGTATTGGATCGATTGCATTAGTCGAGGGTTGATTCAATGCTTTGTATCGATTGAGAACCTCATTTGATAGAGGGAATCTAGTTCAGAACGCCTTGATCGGTTGTTCTAGAGAAGGATACGTCCCTCTAGGCAATTGACTCAAGAGGGCCTTGTTCCTTTAGTCGAGACTCAAGGTCTAGTTAAGGATTCTCCGCATTGTGAATGAAAGTGAAACAGGTTAGAGATCATCAATCATTAATCTGGCTAGTGGCTAGGGGGAATCATACCTAAGTGAGTTCCCAACCTGTAATTAGATTAACTTTAACTGTAGTTTGTTAGAGTAGTTTTAGTTCTTCCATCTTAATCTGGTTTGCTAGATAATGAACCGAAGCATAGTAATAGTAACTCTAGAGACCCGTGGATTCGATATTTATTACTTGAGCCACTATACTGCAGTCCCTTTCATTGGTTACACTTGGCCATTGTTAGGAGTTGTGTCATAGCGAGCCAAGTGCAGAAAGTGGTACTTATTATGTAAATATTGATATATGGATGACCAATGACCTACCACATTAGATGCTTATTTGGGAGTTACATGTAACCCCTATTTCTACATCATTATCTCTCATTCATAAGCATTGATATAAGGATGTAGTGGTTACCAAAGTGTGCCTATAAATATAGCACACCATTGTATCAAAAGTGAAGAATGAATAAGAAGAACTTTTCCCCTCTCTTCTCTTGTGTCTTTCCATCTCTAATGTTTTCTTGTAGTTGTTTATATTTTCATTAGTTTCATAACACGTTATCAGCACGAAACTCTGCCAAATTCATGGTTGGTCATTGCCTCTCTACATAATCAAATATATTTGAGTAAGATCATAACACGATCAAGGTATGCGGATTTTCATTTCGTTTCTTGTTAGTATGTTCATATTATTTTATGAACTTATTTTATGTATGACTATCTCATAGCATAGAGTTTGTACTTGGACATTATAAAAAATAGAAATTGCTCTTGTAGTAGCAATAACAAGAAAAGTAATATAAGTGATGAGTTAATTACTCAGTTCTTCGTGTTATCCTATTCCTATCAATTCTACTTTGATATGCAGAAAATGCAAGTTCCAAGAGCCCATATATTCCCCAGAAGTGGAAATTGAAGAATCCAAGGGCAAAGAACGAAGTGGACATGGTAACAAGAATATTGGTTATGTATGTTACCATTGTAATGGAAAAATGTGTTTGTCTCGTACCCGTTGTACGCAAAAGACTTTATTATACCAAGAATCAAAGGGAATAGCAAATTCAAATATGCTGATGCAATATCAATATTTATGGAACATATTTTTTGTATTATAAGTTGGTATATTCTCCATTAAAGATGAAAATGATATTGCACTTGAGACATTTTCATTCCCAGAAGTGAATGAAACAATATATTCCCCGAAGTGAATGAAACTATAAACATAATTATATATATGGTAAATGTATTGTTTGGATCTTTTCACCAGAACTGAAAAAGAGGAGAAAAATGAGAATTATAAATAAGTATGACACAACAATTATATTATCAAAGTCATGATAACATAATGTACCTATTGTACATTGAAATGTATAATGAAACGCATATATAAATTTAAAATCACCTAGTTAGTGATGGTATTGTTCCAAATAAAGCTTATTTAAATTTTCACAATATATTGTAGTATTATGATTCTTATTTTCTATTATGTTTTATTGTGCCATTATTTTTTTATAAGAAATGGTGCCATTATTTTCATGCATAATTTAACTTGATAACTTTTATCTAGAACGCTTAACTTGATAAGTTCATCATTTTTGTCTTAAGTTTGAAATATTCTCATTTATTATTTTAGTGTGTTTTTGTAAAGTATGATTGTTAG